GGGGCAGCAGTCATTAACCTACATTCTAGTATCTGACAGAACTTATGTTTTTAATGTCAAATTGAGACGTGAGTTTGATTACAGCTGTGTTTTGTGTGCATTTTAATGCGTTTCAGGCCTTTTGGAGTTTTGTTTAGTGCCACAATTGAACTGACCAAAGAAAAATCACATTTTCCATGTTTTTTTTTAAAGTAGTATGAAAACACCATCAAAGTTTTGTTGAATTATACCATTCACTCCACTTCCATTTACTCCATATATGGAAACTAATTTAAGTGTATTTTTTGATGTTACAAAAACCAGCACATTTACATAATATATTCAGCCTATTCAGCTGATAGCAGTTTGAACTCAAGTTGTAAGGAGTGGTCAACTTGAACTACTTTTGAATGAGACAAAATACAGGGCAGCCAATCAGAACAGAACTCATTTACATGTATTGTCTTAAAGGTGATAACAGTAATAAAAACAGCTTGTTTAATTTTAAGGAATAAAGCAATGACAAAAATGGACGTGAAAGTGAATTAGCACTGCTTTTGGTACGTAAATCCACACAAAGATCATAAACGGACACTGTGATTTTATGTGTCAGCTTACCCAATTCCAAACCCCTCGTCAAGTCATTTGCATTATTTACCATCCAATACCTTTTGTTTAGCTGCTCAAATACATAAAATTAGCACTTTATTTAGTAAGGTGCTGTGCTGGTGGTGGAATTTAACAAATCCATGCAAGGGCTGGGCTACATCAATAAAAAGAGGAACCAAACCTGTGGTGATCTAACCAGCTTATAAGACATTACTATATTTTTGTTGTATTCTTTTTACTGTATTATTATTTATTGACTCTAATGTTTCATGATGAGCAGAGAAATTACTGCTCAGATAAATAGTTTTAAACAGTTTTCTTGCTGGGCTCAGATCTTCGTGCAGTACAGTATCTTATGTGGATTGGAAGCAGAACCATGAGTGCTTCCAATGTGTCTGTTCCTATTCAGTATACTCCCCAGATAGAAACCTGGTGGGTAGCATGAGCTATTGGGCCCTCTGCTGTGTCCCACTGTGCCTTATTTACTCCAGCATAGGACCCAGAGGAGCCTGGGAGACTGAGGTGAAGCTATCCTGATAAGCAAAGACACAGAATGTTATCCTCAGAGAGAGAGCGAGAGAGAGAGAGAGAGAGAGAGAGAGAGAGAGAGAGAGATAGAGAGAGAGAGAGGGAGAGAAAGAGACACCACAAGAGTGTTAAAGGTTGAATAAAATATTGAGTAGTGGTGTTTATACAGTGTAAATGTATTCACTCATCTCAGCAGTGTAGATGAAGAGCTCTTGAGCATGGATTTTCTTTCACAGATTGTTTTTGAAACCCATCCTTCTTGAAACTCCAGGCACTTATTATTCAGTTATCATCAGTAACTACTATACATTATTCAGTAACCACTATGTAATTAATATGTAAGTTATAGTGTTATGAGACTGAGGAACTGAAGCATTTTTAGGTGAGTTTTAGGGGGTTAATGAGATCTTTTGAGCCCCTTTCCATTGCCCCCTTCATATTTCCCACTGCGGTTGCTGAATGTTTCTCAAAAAGGTAATATACATTCTGAGGAAAGTACTTAGCGATTTCAATACAGAAGTCCAGATTGCTCAGATGAGTTATAAAATCATGACATATATTTCATTGTTAATGTACCTTCTGTGTTAATATGCTGGCTGATGATCATGCAACGCTCAGATTTGAATAACTGTAGTTACTGTATTTATGCCAGATCTCCTAACGTTTATCTTTAAAATGCTGACAGCAATACTGCAGCATTTTATACAAATTTACACTTCTTGTAATTGAATGATGGGATGTACCCAGATTTAGTGCTGAAAACTATAGATGAGTTTGTAGTGAGTGTGAGAGGGAGCAGTGCTAAGCAAACTCCTCATGGTTACTGGTTAAACCCCTTTTAATGAGTGAATTCATCTAGTTTAAGGTGACACAGGCATACAAATGCACATGCGTTGTGTAATCTCCATAGAAAGGCATTGTCAGTAGAATGGGGCATTCTGGAGCAGCCACACATGAGCCTAAGGTCACCATGGCCCCCTAACATTTGCAGCAGCTGATAAGTTTGGGATGTATTAAAGTTGTGTTTGTGATCCAGAACTAATCATCCAACATCAGTAGCTGACCTCACCAAAGCTTTTGTGGCTGAATGAAATTAGTCAAATCCTCACAGCAATGTTCCAACATCTAATGCAAAGCCTAGAAGAATAAAGGCTGTTACTGTTACTACACTATGAATACCTTTGATTTCAAGGGAAACATTGGAAAAGCAGGTGTCTTTTAAACATATCATGCATAAAGTTTTCTTATAATCATGATGATATACAGTGTGAATGGGCTTTGTTTTTGCTACGGCTGGAGGATCAAAAGTTCTCTAAGGCTTTCTTTGTATCCCAGAATCCCAGAACCCCGCTAGGGTTGCTTAAAAATGAAAGACTAAGAAGAGAAAATAAAAAGCTGTTGGTGAAAATTAAAGGTTCTTGGCTGAAAAGCCATTAAGTTTGTGTCCTGATGTAGCTTTTTGCCTGCCTGCCTTGCCTGGCCCCTGGGAGAATGCACAGACCTGCATATGCTTTTGGCTGCTGTCCATGCTAGCCTTACACACACAGTGAATTCCTCAGGAGTCTGCTCATAAGCAGCCTCTGGGGGGGATCTGTTCCCTCCCTCCTTCTCTCTTTTGCTCTCTTTCCCTCCTCCCTGCACTCTCCCCTCTGTCAACACACGCTGTTTAAAGGGAACATCGGACCACACCGCTGCACTAAGAGAGAGAGAAAAGAAGAGTAAACCTCAGGAGAGCAGTGAGGAGAAGTTAAAGCCAGCTCTCCGTCTGGGCTGAGCTTTTCCACCTGTCCTCTCCCAGCTGCGCCCGAGACCTTGCGTGAACCGCTTCTAAGGTTCGAGCCACTTCTGGGCCATTTTCAACTTCATCTGAAGGTTCTTAAGGGATGAAGAGTTATTTGGTAGCTAGCCGGTGGGCCGAGAACTCCTGGCTCGCGAGTGTGAGAGGCAGGAAGGTGGCGGGCTCTATAGGCTGGGATTGTTCCAGCCTTGAGGCCTCAGCTGGAAGCCAGAGCCATAACAGAAACTCTACACCCAGACCTGGAGGAGAGCACAGAGAGGAGAAAGTGCCAGACCTGCACATATTTTCTCCCTGCTGGCTTTCTATACTGTCGAAAGAGAAGGGTTTCAGATCCCCACAGCTTTTCTCACGGCCTGCTCTCTCCAGTGCCATCTGGCTTTGAAGCCCACGGTTGATTGTATCTCGGCGTCAGGAGAAAGCTTGTGCCGAGTTCAAAAGGACATCGAGTCTATGCGGGGGTGAATGGGTTCTTCATGAGTAGATACTTCTAATGAATTGACTAACTTTCATCGGTTCCTTCAAAGAATGATCTGTTCATGTGATTTTCCTCCTCCTGCAGCATCTCAGAACTTCCAAGCTTGTAATAAAAAGCATTTTACTTGCAGACTTATAAAAGCAAATTCAAAAGGTTTATTTAATTGTTTATCATGCTGAAAAAATGGGGGCTTTTTAAGGTGCTTTTGTAAAGGCAAAGGTTATATATAACCATGATAAAAAAAAAACAATTTCAATGCTTAAATAGTTCCTTTGCATGATGGATCATCTGTTCTAAATGGTTCATTAAAGACTCTTTAAAAATGCTTCTTTTCAGCACCAAAAAGTTTCCATAATTGTAAAATAGAACCTTTTTGCTAGGACTGTACTTGTAAATAACCTCAGCCTGTAAGATAAAAAGTTGTTTAAGTTTCTGTGGCCAATCTATACTATTGTTGTAAAAACCTTGTAACTCCATTTTCATCTTTTTCTTTTTTCTTTCCACCATATGAACATGGCAGCTGCCCTTCACATTGTGTGCAAATTGAATGATAAATGGCACAAATAAAATGGTCCAAAATTACTTATTAAAATACACAGAACTCGTGAAGGTTATTTATACCTTTAAAAGTTTTCCAGACTCGCACATCTCATTTATAAACATGGCTCTTTAGGGAACAAAAATGGTTCTTCTATGGCTTTGACTTACAGGCACCTCATTTTTTAAAGCCTTACATGGCCAGAGTTTATCAGCAGGCCCAAAGTTTTATTACACACTTCAATAATCTAAGAATAGCTTAGCCAGTTTGCATTGAAGTCCCTGTAATTACTGAATAATAAGTCTTAGTATGTAATAAGCCTGGGATTTTCATGAGTTAACAGTGTATGTCCAAAAGTATCCAGGTACTCCTAATTAGTTGCTACGGGCGTCCAATTGTGCACACAGCTTGATCTTTATCATCTCTATTAAAAGTACACTGGAAATTGAATGGGATGTTCTGGAGCAGCTGCATTTGGGCCTAAGGTCACCATAACCAACAGTGTTGGCTAAAGTCACCCAGCACTGGGCTGTGGTGCAGTGGAACTGTGTTCTCTAGTGACGGAGCACCATCCAACATCTTCCAGAACTAATCATCCAATCTCGCTACTGCTTTTGTGGCTGAATATAATCAAATCCTAACCACGTTTAAACGTTATGTAAAGCCTTTTCAGAAGAGTAGATGCTGTTACTGCAGCAAACAGGGAACAAACTCCCAATTAACACCCTTAATTTCAGAAGTAATATTAGATAAACAAGTGTCTAAAAACTTTTGGTCATATAGTGTTGATATATGAATAGGTTTTGTGTTTGCTCCAACTAGAGGATGAGAAGTTCTGTAAGACTTTCTATGTATCCCAGCATCAGACAGGTCAGACTGTGACTCTCAGTCCTGTGTTGTGAAAACCCATGACCTTAAACAACCCCAGGCTTCATTTAAAGCAGAAATAGAGCAGCAGTTATTCCAGACAATGTCATTAACTCGAGGCGATATGAAGGAATGCCACACATTTAAAATCCCACCACATAACCTTTAAAGTTGTCTTTAAAAAAAGAAGACACAAGAGAGAGAGGCACACTGGATTCTTCTTTATGTAAGATCATTTATGTACACATATGGCTTCATACAGCAGCAACAATCTGGTTGTTGTATGGGGAATACAAGCACATCAGGCGACTGCATCAAGAACTAAATCAAAGAGCTATGGCCTCACATTATACAAACTGGCTATGACTGTTGCTTACTGCCAATAAGCTGAATGTAAAACAGAAAGATGTACTGGATCAGGTAGGACATGTCAGCATAACAATGATCTCCAAACAACATCCTTTTCTCTCTTATAAAGATTTATTATTTTTTTCTACATAAGCTGATTGCACGTTGAGATACACATACATTATATATATATATATATATATATATATATATATATATATATATATATATAGATATATATATAATTTTTGATTGTGAATCAAATCATTTCTGTACATAAGTTAAGAAATGTAACAGTTTGCTTAAAAATAGGTCACATCTTCACTGCTTTGTCCCTCTATGAAAGTGCAATGTCTTAATTTATAGATTCTTTTCTATAAAAATTGGTCCAAACCCCTCAATCTAAATAAACAGATCTTTTTTTTCAAATTTGATTTAGATTACATATTTTTGCTTTTGTTTTTATATTTTTTATCTACGTTTATATTTAATTTAAAAACTGCTGCTAAATACAAGAATAACAGAGTCAGTTTACAAAAAAAGCTTTACATGTAAAAGGTCATCTATGGTCTAAATACTTCATATTCTTTTTTCATAACATCATAACTTCTCCACAGCTCCATAGTACATGAAATATATTGTCATCAGTAAAAACAAACCAAAGGTAACAAAAATAATAAATGAAGTACAAGAATGCATAGGTGTGAGCAATCGCTGAATTAACAAAGCAAATACAATACAGGTCAGGTTTTGTCCATATGTGAAATATGTATACAGATTAATATTAGTAGAAGAGTTCTGTCTCCATGATATATAGTCTGTCTGTCTCTGCTTTAAAACAAGTGGCCTGCACAAGAAGTATAATTCATAGGTTAATCAATCATGTTCTAGAATAGACTTTTCGGCAGCTTTCTGCTGCCTGTGTGTCCCACACTAACCTCAGGTAAAGAAAAAAAATGCCATTATTTGAAGAGAAAGCATTTCTGTGACAACTTCAACTGTTTGACATTTAAAGAGCAGCCACTGCATAGCACTTCAAACTGCACATGCTTTCACATGTCCAAATTGCTCCAAAGTGTACGCTTGTTATATAAGTCAGTATTCATAAAGTCATAGTTCAGCCTGCAGAACAGATTCAAGTCTTACAATTATGTACTGCTTAATTATTTCAAAAACGTTGTTCGTTCAGCCTGCTTCACAATATGCTCGAGGCTTCGATAGCTTTGGGCTGTTTTAACTTTCTGATACTCAGAGGTGAAAAAAGTGCTGAAAAGTAAATATAGCGATGTCCTCGTACAACCACCAGCAACTTCCACACTTTCATTTTGTTTTATGCTTACATTTTTATCTAGGGCTGAATTATGGGAAGAGTAGACAGGGAACAAAGCCAGAGGGCTCAGAATGGCTAACAAAAATATATTAATCAGTAAAATGTGAAGTGGAAATTCATAATATTTTTTCATCCTGTGCCCACATTGGCCCTATCTAATATGAACTGTCATGGATTTTATTCTTAACTTCTAGGGATGCATGATAGGAATCTGCAAAGATCAACCAAGAATTTATTATTTTGAATTAGTCATGTATCTTTTTTCATTTTTTTTTTAATCATCAGCATTTTACATTGTGTGAAAATTTCATGATGATCGGACCAATAGAAATGCTCCAAAATCACTTAAATATAAATATCTTAACATTAATTTAAATTTAAGTTAATGTTATTATTAAATTCAAGTTCAGAACATTTTGTCTTACCCTGTAAAGTTGCTATTTTGGATTTGGATTTTTTTAAAGCAATGATCTATGACTAAGTTTAAAAAGTCTTTAAGAATTTAAAATGCCAGTTTCTGCCATTAAAAAGCAAATAATATTATTTAGATTCCGGCTTTGGCTAACTGAAAGTACTGGAGGATGTGCTAATGTATGTGATATGTTTATTTACCCCACTTAGCGTGAGCTCTGGGTAATAATAAAAAAACAAAAAGACTAATGAAAATTGGCACAAAAAATCATCCATTGGCCAATAAAGGAATGAGAATCAGCCATAAAAATTCCTAATCAGTGCATCCCTATTCATTTTCACTAACTATCCATACCAAATCCCACACCCAGATGAGTAAGAGGAGGTGAATTGTGCCAGAAGGTTTAAGAAGCCTTTTCAGAGTGCTTTCTGTAAATCCTCAAGGTTCAATGCATCCAGTTTATGTCCTGCTGAAATGTGCACTCAATGTATTTTCACATTCATTAATTCTTCCACTAATTCAAAACTTTCTGACTATATGCCTGATACACCTGCCATTCATAACCTTGTCCTCTATATGCATTTGAGCCCTTTAGATTTGTGTCCTTTAGATCAAATTTACTGACATTTCACCAGCAGAATTGCAAAGCATAACTATTCTAAATAACTGTAACTCTCTGCTTTAAAAGCTATTCTTCAATTTCCAAGCAGCTTTCCCTCTTCACCCGACTTGTTCTTTTGAAGCTTGATCCAATGATTCAGAAAGAATGTTATGAATTGCCCTCTGGCAGTGCCAATACATACAAATGTTAGGGGTGTCAGAGTGAATAAAACAAAATGAAAGCTCATGGGTTTCATAATGGTGGTACGAGGTAAGAGGTGTCAGCAATATTGAAGCTTATTATTGAATCACCGCCTCTGAGGACATATGCTCAAACAACAGTGACCAGAAAAAAGAGAGCGTGAAAGAAACATGGCAGTGGGGCTACTTTGTCATGTCTTGAATAAGGCATTTTTTTATATCAATAAATTTAAAGGCAGCACAAACTCAGAACATCACAAACATATTGACATGTACATCACAGTGCCTGCATTTTGAGAGAAAGAGAAAAAAAATACAACACATTTGTGATAATCTGTGACGTGATTCAATCACATCTCTTCTCCTTCACTCTAATAAATAAACAAAAGTAAATAAATCTCCCTACGCTTTCTTAAAGGCAGAGGATTGTAGCTTTTCTGATAACACAGAGGGAGGCCCATTCTATGCTGTCACACTGGCAAGAGCCTGCCTGCACTGTAGTTTTCAACTACATAATTAGCCACAATCACAAGACTCTTGTGTTTGGGACCCCCATGAGAAATGTTAAAGGACATGTCCAGCAAGTTCTTCAAAATTTCTTTGTTCTTTCTGACCTACCCTATGTGAGTTTTGAAAAGTCAAATAGAAGACTATGAAGTCAAGATTCTGGTCTACGGTTAAAGGAATATAAATCTTTGTTTTCTTTGTAAGTAGGTTACTCTTGCTTTTGTGGGCACTCAACATACATGTACCAAGCATGTCGCACGAATAACTTCTCAATGTCCACTAAATGGCAGATGCATTCTCCTCTTTCAATGTAAACTGAGCAGCCCTAATCCTGGGTCATGCATATATAAGCAGTATCCTCACATGGTTCATGTGGGCTGTATGATCACCCCTGCAGTCTGTTTGTGTTTCAGCTGGAGAAACATACTGAGTGAAAGATAATGACCAAGCGAAAGCTAACTTGGCAAGCATAACTGCGCTAGTAAGTTAGCCTATCTGTCTGCCTGTCACCTGAATGTCCACCCATTCGTTCAGCTGACCACGCCTGAATTCCCTAGATGTACATCATGCAGTAAAGTGAGTAAGAACTTTACCTTCTTTAAGACTTTGCCATATAAAACCTGGATAATGTTTTTTGGTGAGCTTTGGACACAGCAGAGTCTACAACATAACTTTACAACATAACCTTCATATTTACAGCCCAATTGACTCATTTCTCATTTCTGCTTCAGCACTGTAGCAGGTCGTTGGACTGAGGACTGTCAGTTGCATGTCCTCATCACAATATTAACCACACCTAGACAGTTCTCAGGTCTGTTTATTCTATTTTTTTTTTAATGAAACCTTGCTGTATGTTTAATATGATACTGAATTTTATCATACAACCGTTTTAAATATTTTACACTGTGTTCCTTGAGACTTGTAAATGTAGCATCTTGAAGATATGACAGGCTATACACTCACATTTCAGTTTTTAGGAGAGCTTACAATGTAAGAACACAAAGAAACTTTGAAAAAATTGGTGGACTTGTCCTTTGAGGACCCCAAAACACTGCTGAAACGTGCATGCATTATACACAGCTTAATCTATCCTCAGCTAAAGCCAACCATACACAATAATAACAATAACAAAATTTCAAAACAAAAATCTCAAATATATCAACTTTATGCTTCTGCCATATGTATTTACCATGTATTTACAAAGAAATGTGGAACCGTGTACGCAGTCTGAATGAGAAGCACCCTCACGAGTGCGAATGAGCCAACAGAAATGTCAAGTGTCAGATCCAGTTTCTCTCAGATTCATAAAACATGTTAAATCTGCTGCCCTGATTGCTGAATTCTTTGTGTAAACGATCTGGACACAACATAATCGCAATACACTCTTTTTAAAAAGTGTAGTACATCTGCTCTGAATCTAAAACAGAGGAGAGAACAGAAAGTGTTATAATGTAACATAGTCCTAGGAGGCCAAGAGGTTTCCCTAACTTCTTCCAGGTCCTGCCGTGGAGGACTTTGTCCGGATATGACTATATACACACGCTCATCTTTAGGATCCAGTTCTCTTTCCCATTAAGGCCAGCTGTGGAATATCCAGGGCATTAAGCACTGAATACAGACATTAGGATGCCCAGCAGAAAGCCAAGGGCAGCAGTTTGAGCTCTAACAGCACTAAAGACTAAAGAAAAGATGACATGTTGACATGCAATGGTCAATTTAAAGGGCTGTGAAGGATAAAGGGCGAGGGTCTGATTATAATGCTGGGAAAAAATCACCTGATCACAGTTTGAATTTAATAGAGATAATCTGATTGTACTGATAATCGAGATGGTAACTGTGATGCATATTTGCATATGTCTAAATGTGCATGTATGTATGTGTATGTATCTTGTGGCTGATATGTGGGCCATGGTTGTGGACCATGCTGTTTTTGCCCTGATTTGACCACTGGTTCTCAAAGCGAGAAAAAGGCAGCAAAATAAAGCACATGTGATTTGGCTAAGTAGTACAGGCACCTGGTTTGGCACTTGGTTTGAAGGTGCGTCATAGCGACAGAGCAGAGCATCCTTCTGCTCCTCACAGATCTAATGTCCTTGGCAGTGTGCGGTCGTATCACAGCCACGGCTGAGCAGAGGGAGAGCAGGGGAATGTCCTTGATGAGAAGCGGTAGAAGAGAGCATTGCTTGAATGGGCAAGGATGGCCTCTTTGGACTGTTACTCTCCAGTCTGAGAGGCAGAAATGTTTTACCTGTAAGAAAAAGGTAGGTACTTAATGCATTGCAAATAGAAAAAACAGAGGGTCAAACTAGCAGGTTCAGGCAAACAACCAAATCAAAACAGACCAACACATTAAAAAACTGCTGCCAATGCACTATATTTCCTTATTATATACTATATAACATACATATTTGTTTGGAGAAAAGCTATGAAAAATTGTTCAGCCAAAAAAAAAAAATTACACACTTTTCTCTTTGCCTCAAATGTAGTTGATTAGCCAAGGCATACTTTTGCACCGGAGCTACAAGGTTAATGTAATTAACAAGTAACGGAAGCATTTATCCTACCAGTTTAGCACAGTACGAAATGCATTCATATGTCATCAAACACTTGCCTCAAATTGTGTCTACTTGTTAATTAATCTCAAATATGCATACTTATGTAGTTGTAGACACTGTATAACTGACTGACATCTTTGAAATATCATCTTTAAAAATGGACAAAAGAATAGTGTATACAGTGTTGTGTGTCACGCATCCACTGAACTCCCTTGTGGATTCGGACTCAATCTCCCAGAATCCTCTGGGAGATCACATGACTTCCGAGCTTCCCTTAGGCAATAACACTGAGACGGACTCAATATCCCAAGAACCTTGGGAATTGCATGACTTCTCACGTGACTCCGCGCTCCTATCAGCGCTCTAGATCTCTGGAGTATCGATGTGAATCACCTGTGTTAGTTGTCATATGACACAGTTAGTTTAGTATATAAGCCCGGGCTTTAGCTTAGTAAAGTTGCGAGGTATTGTATCCACTATTGTGACCTACTGAGCGGGTTTCTATTGTTGTGTATTCCGTGTATGATTTTGCCTTTCGTTTTCTCGACTCTGCCCTTTCTGCTCTGCCCTTTGGATTTGTTTGCATTGATTCTGATCTTGGATTTTGACCAATTGCCTGCACCTTAAACCACGCTTCTGCCTTTCCCTTTTTGGACTTGATGCATTGTCTGATGTATGTCTGTGTGTATTTCTTGTGCCTTCTGGATCTGAACACTGCCTGGTTTTTGAAGACGACTTTGAACTTTGTTCCTATCAGTAAAGCCCTTTCTGTAAGTTACATCTGCGAGCGTCTGACTCTGCTTGAAACCTTACATTGTGTAAAAGTCAGACACTTCCCTTCATTTACTTAATTTCCAGTCATTCATTTCTCAGGAGATATTTCTGAGAAGATTAGATATAAAATAATCAATGAGATAAGGAGAATGTGAAAGAAAATAAAAACACAGGAGTTTCCAAAACATTATAATATGTAGAGACCTATAGAAAATGGGACTCCTAACAACCAAGAAGACGAAAAAAAACTGTCACCATCAAAAAAACATGACTTAAAGCTTTCATCTTCAAGAGAGAGAAGAAAATCAAGCTCCAGTCTTGCTTCAGATCTGAGAAAACCAACATGTAGACATCATCACTAAGAAAAGGAAATACACAAAAAAGAAAAAAAATGCAGATAAAACAAAGAAGCTGGTATTCTCAGAAAAATGGACTGGCTACCCCACAGACCAGACTTCTTTATCATGGAGTATGTTTGAGATTACTTTGATCGTGAGAAGTAGAAAATACAACCAATTTCTAAGACTGAATTTTGGAGGTGTGAAAAAATATCTCTGCAAAAACGGAAAGAAAGTCTCCCCAAAAGAATGGAAGCTGTAATAAAGACTGAACTGGCTGATTGATCACATTAAAATACTGGAAAAATTAAATATATATATTTTTAGTGGCTCCTGTGTATTTTTTTTGCAAAATATATGCGTTCTGCTTTTTCCTGACACTACAAAAAGGGTTATTTGTACTTATTGGCAGTTTTGACTGGAAATTAAATAAGTGAAGGGTAGTCTCTGACTTTGCACAGTACTAAACATACAAACAGCACAAGCAGTCATCATGAAGACTGTATTTTGTCCATTTTTATAGATGACACTGTGCAATACAGCACAAAACTAAAGAAGCAAACAATAGACGCCAAACGTGTCTCAACTAATTAAGAACATTTCGGTTTAGAAGGAAAATTGAGTAAATTTTTGTATCTTTACCCCGACACCCAGCTGTGAGTGGTGGTCTTGACACCGTGTGGTGGGAACCCCTGCTGGCTCGTCATTGGGTCAAAGTTGAAGTCCAGTGAGTCTCCATCCATCAGAGTGTCATGCAGGATGGACTCCATGTCACACTCAAAGCGTTCCACAGGCATGCCGTCCAGATCACTGGGCAATTTTTCCAGGTGCTGGTGGTGCTGCTGCTCGGGGGCCAGGCCAGGGCCACGGCTGTACCCATTGCCATTGAGGCTGCAGAAGGAAAGTCCTCCTCCCCCTCCCACATGACTGGACGTTCCATACTGCATCTGCATGGCTGATTTGATTGACCCAAGGCGTCCGCTTACACCCCCATGGCTCATGCTGGTCAGGGGGTGCAGTGTGCGGCCATTCATGGCCGCTGTGGTGGGCGGAGCCTGGCTGTGAATGGTGTGAGGGTGAGACAGAGTATGGCTGTGAGAGGCTCCGCCCCCCATGAGTTCGCCCCGGCTGCTGGTGTAAGGGGGCAGCATGCGCCCTGCAGAGTTGGCAGACTGGGTCACCACTGTATCTACAGAGGGCATCAGGTCTGCACCATGTGGCTCCGAATCTGAAGTCAGAAGCTCCTTCAGCAGTCCTGCGGTGCAGTTAAACTGGGCCATGGTTCCAGGACCCCCTCCGAAACTGGCCTTATTCTCTGGCAGAGGCTGCATGGACATGGAGGACAGGCTACCCATGCTTGCCTGACCGTACAGGCACTTGCGGTAGTCTTGCTGTGGTTGCTGGTTGACGGCAGCCAGGCCAGGTGAGCTGTAAGAGGGATATCCAGGGCTGCTCTGAAGGAGAGATGAAGGTGAAGACTGGTTAGAGCCTGTCCCAGGTCCTCCTGCAGAGCCCACAGCTGGGTTCTTGGGCGAGAGCAGATTAAGGTTGTCCAGGAGATTCTCCATTACGTTTTCCGAGCTGCTGTGACCCAAGGAACTGGCCATCTCTGACAGGCTTGGAAGGGTGGAGGTCATTTTGGCACCAGAGCCAGGGCCAGAGTAGACCATATGCATGTCTGAGTCACCCAGGTCATCCTGCTCTGACATGAAGGGCGAGAGGCGGCCACTGACTGTGCTGGCATTGGAGCTGGTGCGAGGGCGGAAGGCCGTCCAGGCGTCAAAGTCGTCGTTGCTGTGGGAGTTGGGGCTGCCGGGCCACTTGCTGTATTGAGAACCCGGGCTGTCTGCACCCCCATCAGGACCACCTTGAAGAGCAAGCTGTAGAGCACAGGAGAGGAGTCACCTACCTACAATGGACACTATCAAGGATTATAACTAAAGTAGTTTTGAAAATCTTTCATTTTTTTTATTAAAAAAATACTGTGTGAACCGTTCATGATGAATGGACAAACATAACTATTTATAAGCTACAACAGAGGTTACGAACTTCTTTCCTTCTCCCACAGTTCGAAGATCTAAGGTTTCTTGCAACAGTGATGATATGCTTATGAACCCGTGCTTTCTTGATGAAAACATTTTAAGTTCAAAACATCTAAAAGCTTTCTGAGTTCAAGCATTACTAAATATGTCTCCAATGTGTTGACCTCACAGGATTACTGCATGAATAATAGCTGGCCAGGACGCGAGGAGGTGGATGAGGACAGACTTTGGCAGTGTACCTTTTTCTTGGCTGCACGCCCTCTGCTCTTGGCGAACTTGCCGGTGTTGTCCATGGAGGCGGCGCGGCGGCGGGGCGACTTACCACTTTTACCGCCCTCGGGGTTGAGCATCCACCACGAGCTCTTCCCCGTCCCCTCGTTCTGCACCCGTACAAAGCGGCTGTGCAGAGACAGGTTGTGCCGGATCGAGTTCTGCGAGAGAAAGAGAGGAAGAGAGAGAGACTGTTATGACCAGCATTTGCCCTTTTTCCAGTAAATTCTGCTCTGACGGTAAATCACCACAGTGCAAATCCTCATAGCAGCTGTTTTCTATTCAGCGCCCTCTTTTCTCTTGACCTTTTCTTTTATATTTGCCCCCCTTTTCAACTTAACAACCCTCCAGTCATCCGTCAATAGTCAATAAGATCACGATCACTTTGTCCTTAATATAACGTAGTCACCCTCAATTTTCATAAGCAAATACATACAAATATTTTACAACAAACTCATATGCCAACATGCAAATGTGTAGTGAAAGGTAAAACCATCATGGGATCTCTGTGGTGTTCTACATTTCACTACACGTTTCACTACGAGAGCCAAGAAAGCCAACAAAAGTTATTTTTGGGAAGGATGATGTCCTTGCAGTGAACTGTTTATTAATAAACAAGAAAAGACTATGTTTAATCACAAGAGAAGAACTCCTTATGCAAACTCCATATGTGCATATGTGTGTTAACTGAGAAGTGATTATATGTAATGTAATTATATATTATTATATTATATTTTTACTCCAATAAACAGGATAGCACTTACTTATCAGATCCCCTGCTAAACCTTAACCAGAAGAGACAAAAATAAAATAATTCGTAGTGGGCAAAAACTAGAAAAACTGAATTTCACAAGCCAAGCCTTTTGGTTTGTCCTCTAATACAAAACCGATGGAGCTTAAAGAAAGAATGAATGCTTATGCCAAGGTGATATGACCGTACAAACATTGGCCCACATGTTGTTGCCAAGTGAAAGAGGGGAATCTTTTTCTTTGTCCAGTTCACCAGTCACACACAATAGCATTAAGGAGAAGAAGTGTTTCTGTTCAACAAATGGACTTGTTGCAACATAGCAACAGAACATATCAACAACATGCCAAATTGCATATGAAACAAGTGACTCTCTATAAGGGTCATTTGCAATGCATCTAAACTCATGTAGAGAGTATTCCCACTCTGTCGTTAATTTGGGTTCTCTTACAGAAAACAAAAAACTTGCGACCACAGTGCTCTCCATCCCGTAATAGCAGGATCCCAGGGAAACACACTGCAGGTAAACATTCAGGTGGTTGGAGACTTACTACTCAAGCTGTCAAAGTGATCTTCACTATTATGGCTATTTCTCATAGAGTCTAACAAAACGGTATTTTTGAGGCAATAGCCTAATGGGTTGTGTGACTACTTTAGAGTTGTTAATGGATGGATGCAGGACGTGATGGTTGTTTTTGAACTAAAAAGCTTCAGGTTCAGGTAGAAGCCTTGCTACTGAGATAATGAGGGAGAGAGAGAGAGCATCTGTGTGTATGGATTTGTGTTTTAGAAAAAAGTCAGTAAAATCCCTGCTTCATATTTGTGATAAATGCTTGACTACATTATTCAACAAAGACAGAGAGAAAGTGAGAGAAAGACAAAGAGAGAATGAGAGAATCATTAATCTGTTCTTGCAGGGCCAGACATGACCTTGCAATGAAGACATCCAGACACAATCATGAGAAAATTTGGGTAAAATGTGTACAAGACTGGCACAAACTGAGTGTGATTTCTAAACCAGTTCAATGCCTTGTGAAGGCGGAGCTCAAATTAAGTAGGGGGCGAAGGTGCACTCATCAACACTGTCCGATGGAGAAGCCTGTCGCTAGACCACATATGTACCATAAGCTGGCATGGCTCAAAAGTGCCCCCCAAAACTCCAACAGCATGTAGATATGAGGCATGTGTGCAGAGAATTTACTTACAGTAATAATAAACGCCTCTTGCAAGCAAAAACAGTTTCGTTAGCTAACAACAGCATTTCGCTAGCTAGCTTGTTTTGGTTATCAATTGTACTTAAGCCTTAAAAAGAACTAGAGTAGTACAAGTTTTAGAAGGGGTGTACCCTTATTAGCAGTGCAATCCAGCACCAAAACGTAGTGTTTTAGTACTCGGGTCTCAGTCTTGTCTCTGTCTTGACATCATTTTGGCTCAGTCTTGACTCTGTCTTGAGCTAAGGTGGACTCAAAAATTGTAACTGGAACTGGTAACTGGAAACTGATTTTTTTTTATCATTACTGAGTATCAACAAAACCTTCAAAAGAAACAGTCGTTCCTCTACATGTTTTTTATTCATTTAATAATAAAAATAGATTGAATAGTTTATATTCAGTTGACTTTAGGTGGCGATTCAGAATAAGTATATGAGCAGAAGGGACAGAAAATAGCCTCAGCACCATTTGCTTCCAAAGGTTACAATACAAAGTTGGACTAAGACTGTATTTTACAAAATATGTTATTAAATATAATCAATGACATTTATTGATATGTATCAAGTACAATGAATGACATTGAATGTACAACTAACCACAACTGAATTTCGTATTTCCCCTTTCTTCTTTTTATTTTCACATTTCTGAAAATATCTTAATCTGTCTCAGATTCGTTGTGTCCAGGTCTCAGTCTTGACCCACCTCTACTGGTCTCACCTACTACACTAGCAAAAAGTATAAGTTGTACCCAGACATGTATTCTTGTTATGAGATAATGTCTGGCCTTGTGAGAGTAACATTCATTCCAATTAAGTATGTTGATGTTATCATTAATCTGTTATCATTTATTTTGCTTTTTATTATCTTGTGGCACTCGGCTACATTGAAAATGAGAATTCCACTTAATGTAAAACAGAGCTTAAATAAAGAATATGATGATGATTCATCTGGCTAAAGACACAGCTTTTATAAACCACAGAGGCCAGCGGTCAGCAGTGGGTTTGTGTGGTGTCAGAACGATTGTGATGTCAGGGCAGACGCTGGAGTATCCTATGACCGCCATATATCAGTGGAGCTGCAGGAAAGAGAGAAGCCTCGACACTCCAAAGTCTGTCCAGTTCCAGCAGAACACATTACCTAATACCTTATGACACACAGCATTATGCAGTCCCCACAATGCGGCTTTCACCAGTAACAGAATGGTTCTCAGCCCAGTGCAGCACAGAAACTGTGCAATTCAACACAGCAGCACATTAAATAACACCCTAAGCTCACATGTGGTGCAAGAGAGATAAAATATTCTGCTTGTGTTCCATTCAGAAAGAATTTGTGAGTGTCCAATTCCAATATCAGGGATGTGTTCTCTGCATCTGTGCCAGGTCATGGTGAGTGCTCAGTGAAGCAACTTTGTTGTTCTCTCTGCTTTCTAGGAAGGACAAGTCTGTTATTCTTACTTGTAACTTGGAAAGTAATAGCATAGCTGGGAGGATAGAGAAAGAAAATATATTCAAAATTTCGATATAATTCATTCATCACTGAGATGTAAACAAACTCATTCAGAGTGGGTTGATGTGAAATGGTTCATTTTAGAAACACATATTCAGATTTCTTTAAAGAGGTGGTGATTTGAACCAGGGGTCGCAATGTTTACAAAACAAATATAGCCATTTTATTTACTATCCTAAACAACCAGCGAATCTACATATGCCTTCTGGGGGTTTTCTATAATGATACTGGTAAAATAATGTAACATTTGAAAAAATATGTTTTTTGGGGGGGACTATTTTGCCTTAAAACGCGCTGCATGCACCTTTCCACCATGAATGAGTTCTAAAAATACGTTTTAGATCAAAATCTTATCTCAAAACTATCATAAAAGTACGTCTCAGGCATCAGGCACTGCATTCGGAACCATTTCACGTAATAACTTTCTGTGAGGTAACATTCAGAAGGAATAAATGCTTTGGATGTATGGTTCTAATCAATGCCAGTGTGGACAATTCAAATGTTGTACGTTTCTCTAGAACGGAGCAATGACTTTATTTGCATCTTATTGATTTAATTACAGACATTTAAAAAAAAAACCTGTGGAGTTCCCTTTTAACAAGGGCTTGCATGCAGATTGCACACTTCAGTTACTTATAACTACATAACTTGCATACAATTTTATTAGTAGTTACCAAATTACTTATAGTAGTATAAATCTTATAATCTGAATAAAAACCTTGCAGCTTAAAGTTTTTTTTTATTTATACTATAACTTAATTACAACTCTTACTCTATCTTTTGATTCTACCTACTGTAACCTGACACACCTTTACTGTGATGGTTTGACCTCAAAAATACTAGACTGGCTGGTATGTCACATAACAAAGCAGGGAAAAACCCCACCTTTTCCTCGAACCTTTCTCAGAGAGTCCTGATGATGAACAGCAGAGGACACAGCTAAGATTCAAACCTGATGTGCTCTTGTAAACAGTGATTTTACTAAGTATGTCAATTCAGGACACATTTACAGCTAAATCACATTTACTTGAAGCAAATCTACTGCTGAATCATCGACGCAGTGTTCAAAACATTTGGACCATGATGAATATCTGAAAGGGGGGGCTTAGAGTTTGGCAGTGTTCTGGTTCTGAGGTTGGAGGCAGGTCCGAGGGTGGGGTTTTAGAGGAGGAGGAGTTTTTTAAGGCCTGTAAAAGAGGAGGAGGAGACATGGGGGGAAATACCATGGCAGAACTCTGCGTGCTGTGTGAGAAGAGTCTGGCAAAAGAGTGTGTCTGGATGTGGCCAGACTCAGAGAAGCCCAGTTTCCCGCTTTAGGTCATATGTGTGTGTTTGTGTGTGGGTGGGAGTGTGTAGGCTCTTGTGAACTAAGCGTGAACTAATGGAACACCAGGTCCTCACTCTGCCATTACCTAAGCCTGGGGAAAGAGGAACGCTGTGTGTGTCTATCCACACTGAATGCTCCGCTGTGTATGTTTATGAGCGTGTATTTACAGTCCAAACTGCAAAAGCAAAAGTTGGCCAGGTCTGCAGGCTGGAGACAGCCAATAAGAGGCAACAGGCGTGACATTGTAACAATACCTTCTAACCCTGAAATGGTAACTTCATAGAAGAAAAAAAAACATACTTAACTTTAACTCTTTGAGGTCTAATGTACTTTTAATAATAATAATAATAATAATAATAATGATGTGTC